AAAAAAAAAAAAGGAAACAATCTAAACCTTCATCATCAGGAAATACATAAATAAATAGTGGTTTAATAATATATGGAATAACCACATAGGATTAAAAAGGAATGGCCTAAAACTCTACATAACAACATGGGTGAATGTCACAAACATTGATCAAGAAAAGCAAGTTGCTGAAGAATACATAGACTACAATGATACCATTTATACAGTTTTAAAATACACAGAGCAATACTTTGGATAGTTTACCTAGTAAAATTATAAGGATGTATGTGAAGATGATTCATACAAAATTTAGAAAATAGCCATCTTGTGGCGGGAGGGAGGGAGGCAAAAGCAAGAGTACAGAGATGCTCAGGGGCCTTGACGGGACGGGGAAATCTTTATTTTGGGGCTGGATGGTGGAGAGGTGGATACATTTTCTATCTCTGGTGTGAAATTTTCATACCTCTTAAAACATTTTAAGCATGAATAATAAACTTGTCATGTCATCTTTGCATGTCATTACTTCAAAATCCTTTTTGCAGCCTTAGGAAAATGATTTAACCGATCTCCTGATCTTTCAAACTAGTTAATTTTCAGAAACTTAAAAATTTTCTAAATGTATTTTGTTTTCAACTTTAAAGCATATGACTATTTGTGTAACCAAACATATTACCCGATGTATGATATACATGGTTCCACCAGTGACTAAACTTAACAAAACTATGGTGTGCAGAAAGTCCTATTACCTTCTGAGGTCATAGTCAAACCTTGGGAGGCCAGAATAAATAATCAAGAAATAGCCATACTTTAGGCAGTGGAGGAAAAATAAAATTAGTATGCCACATTTTTCCTTGCCCTACAGATTCTTCCCACCTCTCCTCTACCCACCATCCCCCAGGGATCGTGGATAATCCCTTTTGTCCTGATGCAATGGAATCTAATTTTGTTATAATGTGATGTGAAGCCTATAACCTATTTTGGGTTCAGTTGATTTAAGGCTTTCACACCAGCAACTCTGGCTATTATGGTTTCCATAGCTGGGAAATTTACCCTTACAGTTTTGTTCAGTTGCTCTGTCACAGATTTGCATTTAAAAAAAATTCTTTTCTGCATTGAGTTAGCCGCCTAGGTAATATGTCTCCATTTTGCATCAGAGATGTTATGTATCATATACTGAGCATACTCTCAGCAGATAAAACAGTATCAGTGGCAGGAGGGTCAGACATCAGATTGGAATGATGTTCTTAAATTTCCCACAACGTGTTTTGTTGGCCTCTTGGTCTGGTAGGAATCTAGCCCTCAAGAATCTAACAGAGCTTTCCTTGGATCGATTTTATGTTGCTCTCTTATCTCAATCTCTCCAAATGGCAACTGTGAATAGTCCTATACCATTAGAATCGAGGTGAAACCAGTGGCTGGAGAGTTATTTTATAAAATGAATAGGTTTCTGAGGGAATCATTTTCATTCATTCATCACTTCAACAAATATTTATTGAGCTACTTACTCCTACACATCAGGCATTGTTGTAGACACCGGGGATCCAGGAGTGAAGAAAAGAGGCCAGGCCCTTGTCCTCACAGAGTCTGCCTTCTAGTGATTTCTTAGAATAACTCAGCGGATTGAAGTGACATCAGGTACACATGACAACAAGGATGATGATAGGCAAGCTCTTTCAGAAAGACTTTCATGATTTTCCACAACCCTCCAAGCAAAGCTCAGTGCCTTCCTCTGTGCCCCAGGACACCCTTGTCACTCAGGGAAACTGATATTTCAACAGATTGCTTTTGTATCCCAGCAGTGCCACTCACCAGTTGTGCAACCTTGGACCAGTTAACTCAACCCTTTCGAGCTTAATAACTAGCTAATCCTTATTGGGTATCTACTATGTGCCAGGCTCTCTGCTAAGTGTTTTACATAAATCATTTTATCTAATCCTTATACCAACCCTACAAGACAGATCCCGTTACTATTCCTCCTACTAATAAGAAAATTGAAACCCAGAGAGGCTAAGTAACCTACTTGAGGTCAGTCATGTGGGTAGTAAGTGACCATAGTAGTAAGGGCCCAATAAATGTTAACCTCACGCTGTGGGGGTAGGGGTGGGGGGACCAGGAGTGGGAGCAGGTCATGCACATGCAGTGTCAGAGCCTATTTAAAATCCTGATACTTTAGGGGCGCCTGGGTGGTTCCGTCGTTAAGTGTCCGACTTCAGCTCAGGTCATGATTTCGCAGTTTGTGAATTCGAGCCCTGCGTTGGGCTCTGTGCTGACAGCTCAGAGTCTGGAGCCTGCTTTGGATTCTGTGTCTCCCCATCTCTCGGCCCCTTCCCTGCTCATGCTCTGTCTCTCTCTGTATCTCAATAATAAATAAATGTTAAAAAATTTAAAATCCTAATACTTTATTCATCATGGATTTTTCCTGCATTTATGTTGTTTTAAATATTGTATTAAAATATTGTTTAGCTTAATAACTGAGCTTTTGGGCACCCACTTAAATTTTGCGCCCAAAGTGAGTGCCTCTCTTACCTCACTCTAGTCCCAGCATCATTAGTAGTATTGGTATCACATTAGAAGGGAAGTTCCTATTTATTTGTTGATTGCCCCTGCTGAATTCAGAGATGTCTAAAGATTCCATCTATGTCTTGTGTCTCTAAAGCCTTAAGAGTTGGCACAGAGCAGGTGTTCAAGAAATAGTGGCTGAACCAAACTTTCTGCTCCACAATAATTCAAAGGAAGACTAGTCTTCATTCAGTGAGAAAAGAGAACTAGCTGACCTCTTCAGTTTCATGTAGTACGATTAGTCCATTGTATTTTATTATTGTCAGTAATACTATTAATATTATTTACATATTAACCACAGCTGTCAGGTATTGGGTATCTACTAGAGTCAAATGCTTAACACACCTCATCTCAAATTCTCACCACAAAGCTGGAAACTGAGGCTCAGCAATGTGGAATCACTTGCCCTGGGCCACACAGCTAGTAAGTGACAGTCAGCATTAGACCAGGTCAGTGTGAGTCCAGACTTGGGTTCTTTGCATTCTACCACCTCCCTTTCTCTTTCAGTGTATAGTCTGTCACTGAACAGGTGTGGCATGACTGTGGCCATAGAGAAGGGAGCAGGCAAATGAAGAAGATGGTGAAGTTATACAAAGAAAAGATAGACACACACTGAACACCCAAACGGGAGGGGAGTGGCCGGGCCCTTCCATATCACTGTGCAATGCCATCTCTGACCATTGCTATGAGGTTGTTGTGGAGATTATCCTACACTGTGGTGTGGCCCTGACCTGTATCCACTTGAAGGGGTAAATCGAAGACCTGTCTGTGTGTCTCAAATAAGAGAGCCACATGTTTGTCTTCCTGACCTGCCTCCTTTCGGGTAAATTGAGTAGTTAAGTCTGACCAGATGACAAGAAGTCTATACGGTTGGGCAGCTGGTGATAGGCACCCCACATCAGAAACAAGGAACCAACTGCATCCAGCATTATGTTCTTTGTCCCCAGAATATAATGGGTCCGTGCTAAATGTCTAAGATCCTACTCTGATTTCTACCATGAAAGACATGGTTGTATTTTCCAAAGTGTACTTCTTGAAACGTCAGTACGATAGAATTCTGTGGTCAAGGAAGCTTAAACAGGATTTTCTTTTATTATTATTATTTTTTTAATGTTTATTTTTAATTTCAAAAGAGAGAGAGAGAGAGAGAGCGAATAGAAGAGAGGCAGAGAAAGAGGGAGACACAGAATCTGAAGCAGGCTCCAGGCTCTGAGCTACCAGCACAGAGCCTGATGCAGGGCTCAAACTCACAAACGGTGAGATCATGACCTGAGCCGAAGTCTGATGCTTAATCAACTGAGCCAACAGTCGGTTGGGGTGCCCCGACAGGATTTTCTGTCAGTATTTCTCAGAGGTTTCAAAAGCTCTGGGTGGTGAATCTCCAAGGGAAGTAGATTATAGGCAGCATTTCTCCAACCCAGTTGGCCAGGGAATCCCTTCATGTGGAGTACCTCCACATGGGATGGACTCTGGGAAGCTGTGTGTCAGGATCTTTTAGACAGTATTTCAGGAGAAAGTGCCAAGAAGGTGAAACCTTGGGAAATTATTCTTAAGGAATCAAAATGTTAATGTCTTCCTTTTTTCCTTTTTCACTATAAAAAAGAAAAGTTCTAAAACTAGATTAAAGGAAAGTTGTGAAAATAAAAATAAATCACCCTTATTTTCACAACTTGAGAATATCCTGTTCTTGTCTTTTCTGTATCTATATAACTCCAAATGTGTATCCATATATGTGTGTGTGTGTGTGTGTGTGTGTGTGTGTGTGCATCCAGACTTAGCACGTGCAGACACTATGCTAACTGCTTTGCATTTAACCCTCACAATAACCCTGTGAGTTAACAAATATGATTCCCATGTTAGAGATTTGGAAATTGAGGCTCAGAGGGTTTAAGTAACTTACCAATTTGCACAGCAAGTAGGTGACTGAGCCACTGTTTAAACACAGGTATTTCTGACTCCAGACTATGTATTTAAGCACTGAAATGCTGAAATAGTTATTTTCTACCCTAGAAAAAAAGTATTTGCCCTGAATTTACTACCAGGGAGTTTATCTTATCTGAGATCCTCATACAGCTCAGTTCCATGTTGAATGATAAAAGGGTATTCCAAAATTGTTCCTGCTTTTTATTTGTCCTTGCCTCCCTCCTCTGACTTCAGGTAAGTGTCACAAGGACTTCACAGCAAGTAATCCTAAATGCCGGGCCACATTGTTTTCTGTTTTATGGCTCAATGATTTCCTGTGTTGTAAATGCATTCAGAAATGATTGTGGCTTTTTCTTGAAGCCTCAACATTTTTTAAAAAGTGATTTATTTTGATAGTGCTTTAGCCTCATGATTTCAAATATTAAGTTACTTGGTTCAGGTGATCTTATATTTTCCCATAAATGTGTTTATGTCACCCCGCAGACTGAGAAATTTCATTCCAGATTTTTTTCTTTCTTCCTTCATTTGATTTTGTGCAGGAGGAGAACTGAATTCTTTGAACTTGTCAGTAAAGGAGAATATGATTGGAACATCAAAAACCATCGTGATATATTTCGGTAAGAAGCAGCTCTTGTTTATGTGTTTTTTCATTATCTGAAGATTTAGTCATGCTTTTCTGACAGTGCTAAGGGCACACAATAATTTTTGAAGTAACAAATCTTAGCTTACATTCAGAGAGTAGTTGAATAATTAGAGAAAAGGTAGGGTGTCTTTCCATCTTCTAATTCATTATATTTTTGCCCCCTCACCATAAATTTGCCTTCAGAATTAGAAAATGGTGTTCAAATTGATTCAGTTTCAGCAAGCTGTGACTTCCTGTTTTTCCTGGGGAAGCAGAGTATGTAAGTTGAGGAGAGAGAGGATTTTTGAACCTTAGAAAACATCATTACCAAAAACAAAATGGCGAATGAACTTTTGTTTTTCTTTAGAGACAACAGATGTTATACACAGAAAACCAGTTGGAACCATGTTGGTGGCAGAAATAAGGAGTCTGTTCTACACTTTTCACTGGATTTTTCCTAATTGTTTAGAAAAGACAGCAGCAAACCACTATCCTTACGTGGCACATTTGAACCCCCTGACTGTAGCCATCCAGACAGCTAGGCACTACTCTTTTTCTCATATCCTGTCCCTCCACTGTCCCTACCTCACTCACCCAAGACTTCTGCTGTCTTATTCCTGTGCCAAGCTTGTATTTCTGGAAAATTTCGTGAGGCCAGGACTGTGGGCTCGCTGTATCTGCTCCACAACTGCTAGAATCACCCAGAGCACCACCCCTATCGTGGCTGCCCCATACCTGCCATGCAAGCCCTGCCCCCAGCCCCCTCCAGCTTCAGAACACAGGGCTGCCTGCCCCTCCCTCTGCCCAGGACCACGCTTCATACTTTCCAGAGGCCTTCTCCCCTCCCACAGTGATATTTCTTTCTGCTATCTTTACAGACCTTTTTCTTCTTCCTGTACAGAGAAGGAGGGGGACCCTTCCTTGTGTCCTAAACTAGCTCTTCCCTTGTGTCCTAACTCTGTTCCCTCTGCCTCCTCCTGCCTGCCCCCCCCCTCCTGAACTTGCTATATCGATTATACTCATTTACATTGCATTTAATTGCTTGCATTTTCAGAATCTGTTTTTCCGTCATGATCATTCTAGGCCTAAAGATATTCTTCTAACTCCTCAGGGGGAAAAAAAATTCATCCCTGAAATCTTCCTTCTTCTCAAAGTCCAATCAATGCCCCCTTCTTCCCTTCAATTGCACACTTGATTCACACTCCTCCTAACTTCTCAGAAGGCAGTGTTTTTCTTTTTAAATAATTTTTAGTTCCACAAGTAATTACAGGGATATATTTTTCTGTAACAAAATATGACAGGCCCCCAGACCCCCCCTGGGCTTCACTCCCATGTCCCATACTGACATATAGCTACACAATTTGTTGTATCCTTTCCAACATTTCCAAAGCATTTATATATGTGTATATTCTAAGGAAAAATACTGTGTAGCGTGGATTTGTTTGTTTTAACGTAAGTTATATATTTATATCTCAGTCTGAACTTGCTTGTTCACTCAACTATATGCCTTGGAATTTCTTCCATGTCCAAATGTCATGATCTTTTACTGTTGCATAGTTCTCCAAAGTATGGATTTACTGTTATGCTCAGAATTCGTGATCCCCAAAGACCACTAGGGAGCCGAGTCCGATGCAAAAGCAAAGAGCCTTTATTCGAGCTAGCTCGAGCTCAATCCCCTACCTGCACCCGACGCAGCGGTGAGATACCAGGGAAAGAGAGCGAGTTTCAAAAGGACAAAGGTTTTATTGGGGCCTGGGGGCAGTTGGTGAGGTAATGGCTATGGCCTCAGCCGATTGGCTGGGGAAGGGTCCTGGGGAAGGGTCCGAGTCCTGTTAGGCAGGTGAGGGGGGGTTACTCAAGGGGAGGAGGTGTGGTCAAGGTGAAGGACACAGAACAAGATGGAGTCGGCTGGCGTAGGCCCGCCCTTTCATTCCCCCCTTGTCATGTAGCTTAGGGACCCAATCATGGGACCGGCTGCATTTATGGTGACAAGGGGAACAGAGTTTGGAGGTTTATGCAAAGTTCTGGGAACCAAGTGTTCCTGGGGTGGCTCTGGGACGTCTGATTAAGTATTGTCCCCGAGCTGGTGTCTATGATCTGCCAGGTGATGTTTTGGGGGGCGTGGGGACTCCCGGCAGCATGAGCAATGACAAGCAGAGTTAACAGAGTTACCAATATTAGGTAGGTCAAATGCGCTGTAGCTTGAGCTTGAGCGGGTTTTGTTGGTCCCGACTGATAGCCCATCGCGTGACAACGTCCTTCCGGATCGAGGAGGGGTCCGCTGGCTGAGCGTGGGTGTGATGGACCCAGGTCGTGATGCCGTCTACCTTGAGAGCGGTGGGGGTTGTCAACACCACGATGTAGGGTCCCTTCCAGCGCGGCTCGAGAGTCTCTCGGTGGTGCCTCTTGACGTAGACCCAGTCTCCCGGCCTGTACTGATGAGGTGTCGCGATCGGGCCAGCCTCGTAGATGGCACGGAGGCACGGCCAAATGTCCTCGTGCGCCCTCTGGAGCCCACTCAAGGAAAGAAAAAGTTCTTGATCTTTAAACTCAGCAATAAGTTCAGCTCGAAGGCTGGGAATAACAGGGGGTGGCCTGCCAAACATGATCTCGTAGGGAGTAAAACTCAGAGTGTAAGGAGTGTTTCTAACCTGGTAAAGGGCGTACGGTAGGAGAGTCACCCAGTCCCCGCCAGTCTCCATGGTTAATTTGGTAAGGGTCTCTTTTAGGGTTCTATTCATTCTTTCTACCTGTCCTGAGCTCTGGGGCCTATAAGCACAATGTAATTTCCAGTTTGCCCCCACCGCCTTGGCTACTGCCTGTGTTACCTGCGAGATAAAAGCTGGTCCATTGTCTGATCCTACCATGGCAGGAAAACCATACCTGAGTAAGATGTCTTCTAGTAGCTTCTTAGCCACCGTCTGAGCCGTTTCATGCTTGGTTGGGTATGCCTCCACCCAGCCAGAGAAGGTGTCTGTAAATACCAGGTCCTCGTGTAGTGCCTTGTCGAAGATGGTGGGTGAATTTTTGAATCGCTGAGGTAGCCGTGTCCAGGTGAGTTGCCCACTGTAGCCCTCCTCCGGATCATGCCACTCGAAGGCGAACAAGGGCTGGCTCTGGGGTGCCAACGGCAGACTGAAAAAGGCGTCCTTTAAATCTAGTACAGTATACCAGACCCTGGAGGGCGCCAAGGAGCTCAAGAGAGTATATGGGTTGGGAACAGTTGGGTGTATGTCCACGACCCTCTTATTTACTTCCCGGAGGTCTTGTACCGGTCGGTAGTCATTTGTGTGAGGCTTTTTGACCGGCAGTAAGGGGGTGTTCCAGGCAGACTGGCAAGGAACTAGTACCCCTAGGCTTCGTAGTCTCCGGATGTGTGGCTGGATCCCCTTCTGGGCCTCCTGAGACATGGGGTATTGTTTGATCCTTACCGGACTCTCTCCTGGCTTGAGCTCTACCAGGACTGGGGTCCTGTGAGCGGCTAGTCCCATCCCCCCTGTCTCTGCCCAAACCGAGGGGAATTCTCGTAGCCATCTGTCTATATTATTCTCTCTCGGGAGCACCTCCTGGTGGAGGAGGTATTCATCCTCCAGTTTTATGGTCAGGACCTGGATGGGGTGGCCCTTGCCATCGGTGACCTGAGGCCCCCCTTGTCTGAAAGTTATCTGAGCTCCAATCTTGGTCAGTAAGTCCCGTCCTAACAGCGGGTAGGGGCATTCTGGTATTACCATAAAGGAGTGGGATACCCGGCCCGTTCCCAAATCTACTGTTCTTTGGGTAGTCCATGAATACTGGCTCATACCAGTTGCCCCTTGTACCCAGGACTTCTTGCTAGCTAGTTTTCCTTGTGGGGTGCGGAGGACCGAATGTTGTGCTCCGGTGTCGACAAGGAAGTCAATAGGGGTCCCCTCCACTTTAAGAGTTACCCTGGGTTCGGGGAGAGGGTCCGAACCCTGACTCCCCTAATCACTTAGTTCATCCAGCTCTAGGACTTTTACTCGATCAGTCTTGCTTCCCTTCCCGCCAGCTCTTTTTGGACAATCTCGGGCACAATGCCCTATCTCCTTGCAGTATGCGCACTGATCCTTCTGCAGCCTCTGCTTCCCCCCCTTGGTGCTTTTACCTTTTCTTGTGTCGTCTGCCAGCTGCCGGAGACGGCGGTCTCGTTCCTCGGGGAAGTCAGCAGTGGTAGCTAGTAGTATTCTGGCCAGGTCTCGAGTCTGCTTACTGCTGGCAGCCACCATGGCACGAGTCTGCTTGTCCTCAGGAGGCTCCTGGTTATTATATACCTTTTCGGCTACCACCAGTAAGTCCTGCAGACTTTTTTCTCCTAGTCTATCTATTTTCTGTAATTTTCTCCTAATGTCTATGGCCGATTGGTTTACAAAGGCCATGATAACAGCTGCCTTGCTTTCCGGAGCCTCTGGATCCATGGGGGTATAGGTACGGAATGCCTCCATGATCCGTTCTAAAAAGGCAGCCGGAGATTCATCTTTTCCCTGTTGTACATTTCCTACCTTGGCCAAATTGGTTGGCTTTCTAGCAGCCATTCGGAGACCCCCCATTAGAGTCTGGCGGTAGACCCGGAGCCTCTCCTTACCTTCTGCCGTGTTGAAATCCCACTGGGGCCGAGTTAAGGGGAAGGAGGCATCTATCTGAGCCTGGTTGGTGGTGGGATTTCCGTCTGCGCCTGTAACTAGTTTTCGGGCCCCACTGAGGATTGTTTCTCTTTCTTCAGTCGTGAACAGGACCTGCAAAAGCTGCTGGCAATCATCCCACATGGGCTGATGGGTAAAAAGAACAGAGTGTAATAAATCAATAAGCCCTGCCGGTTTCTCGGTAAACTTGGGATTCTGAGCTTTCCAATTGTAGAGGTCACTAGTGGCGAAAGGCCAATAGTGATGGGGCTGATTCCCCTCCGCGTCTGGGGGTCCGGTGGCTCGCAGGGGCAGAATAGTGGAGTTGGCGGTGGAGGCGGATTGCCCCCTCTGAGCCCTTTGTCTGGTAAAGGGCGGGCTTCCCCCCAGAGCGTTTCCGCCTCCCGCTCTCAGAACAGCGTCTGCCTCCCTCGGAGGGGGAGGGTGGTGTTCTTCTCGCATCCTAGAGGGGTTATACGGGGGAGGAAAAATTAATTCTTCTTCAGTACCCCCCTGTAGGACAGGGTAGAGGGGTGCTGAAGGCTGGGTAAGACTTTTCCTCTTCTCTGTCTCCTGCAAAGCAAGAATGGGTTTTGGCTCCGGAGGGAGCAGGGTTAGGAAGGGCTTAAGCCAAGAGGGTGGGTCTTCTACAAGGTCCTGCCAAGTGATAATGTAAGGGAGCTGATCAAGATGGACCGCCTTAGGCTGAGAGATGATACTCCTGACTCGGTGGATGGTAGGGAGGTCGAAGATCCCCTCTGGTGGCCATCCAACATTGAAAGTTGGCCACTCGCTAGAACAAAAAAACTGCAACCGACCCTTTCGGACTTCCACACTGAGGTTGTTAGCTCTTCCCCTCACATCCTTAAAGTGATCAATCATAATACTTAGAGGAGTAGTCTGAGTCTGTCCCATAACGTCCGTCCAGTAAGTCCACAGAACAAAACAGAGAAACACAAAAACAGACAAACAGAGGGCCCCTAGAAAGTCTTCCAACTCCATGGAAGCAAAACTGCAAGCTAGCTTAGACCTTTGAGGGGATTCCATGTCCCTCCAAAACCGATGAGGGGATTCCACGTCCCTCCAAAGACGACGGCCTCACGCCGACCAGCGGGAGCGACCCGCCTCGTCTCAGACCTTTGAGGGGATTCCACGTCCCTCCAGAAGGGAGAATCGGAACGTCTTCCGAAACTCCCGGCCTGTGGTCCTGCAGTGCATCCACTTAGACCGCGTCGGGCACTACCAGAATTCCAGAAATGAGCTCACACAGAAAAGACAGAACAAACAGACACTAACCGTGGCCAGTCAGGCTCTCCGGGTTGGGGGTCCCTCGGGGTTCTTGGGGATCCCGGACGAGCCCCCAAATGTTATGCCCAGAATTCGTGATCCCCAAAGACCACTAGGGAGCCGAGTCCGATGCAAAAGCAAAGAGCCTTTATTCGAGCTAGCTCGAGCTCAATCCCCTACCTGCACCGATGCAGCGGTGAGATACCAGGGAAAGAGAGCGAGTTTCAAAAGGACAAAGGTTTTATTGGGGCCTGGGGGCAGTTGGTGAGGTAATGGCTATGGCCTCAGCCGATTGGCTGGGGAAGGGTCCTGGGGAAGGGTCCGAGTCCTGTTAGGCAGGTGAGGGGGGGTTACTCAAGGGGAGGAGGTGTGGTCAAGGTGAAGGACACAGAACAAGATGGAGTCGGCTGGCGTAGGCCTGCCCTTTCATTTACCACAGAGTAGTTAGCTATTCTTCTACTGAGGAATTGGGTCTATGAAATGTGATTTTTGCTCCTTTTGAAAGTCACCAGTCACCTCCCAAGGATCAAATCGTAGGGTCTTTGTTCTCTTCCTTGATCTCGTCACACCCCTAATTGCCCTGGCCTTTCCTTTCTTAAATCTCTCTCCTGCCTTGCTCTTCCAGATTTTCTGCTTTCTTCTGACTCCTGCTTCTCCTCTTTGTTCTTCTTCAGCCCTTCCTCCTCCCCCGTCCCCCTAAAATGTAAGGACCTCCAAGGACCTGTTTTTACTTTCCTCAGCATGCATGCTTGTGGCTTTAAGTACCATCTCTGCTCAAATGACTCCCACCCCATGTCTGGAGCCTGGCCTCTCTTTTGAGCACAACTCCTAAAATGCCAGTGCCCATTCCACATCTCCACCTGGGTGTTATCCTGCAGAGGTTTTCAAACTTTTTTTGGTTGGGAATCCCAAATGTAAGAAAAATCTTATTTGGAAGCTCAGTATGTGGAACAGGTGCTCCAGGAGCTCTCCACTGGCCCCCATCTTTGCCTCCCCCCCCACCCCATTTCATGGTTAGACTCTGTGTGCAGAAAGGGCCGGGGGGCTCTAGGGGAACACTGTCTTAGAGAATTTCAAAATAGTAATAAAACCAACTAAAAGTTGGCCTGCTTTTTATCACCACCATGTGCCTGCAGTCTAAACAATGTCAATGATAAGCTACTTCTCCCTGAGAAAAATCTTTTGTTGGCATAGGTTCTAAACAGTTGCTGAGACTACTGCTGAGTATCAGAATAATTGCTATGAAAGCTCCGAATTAGCACATTATTACTTACCTATAGTCGTACATATCTCGTACATGTAAGCTAAGTGTAAAAGTGCCCCATTATCTAACCAGCCCCTGACACAGGTGGACACAGTCCACACCTTAGTGCAAGTTCCTGATGTTTCAGAGCCTTTTGCCCTTGCTCTGGAGATAGTTCATGTTTCTGACCCTGCAGAGTTTCACAGTCCTACTTTTAAACAGCATATCCGACAAGGGTAGCACAGTAATGGCAAGGATAAAAAACAACTGGAGTTACTTCACTTCTGTTATTTTATGTTGACTATTTGGACTTTTTATTTGTGTTTCAAATTTAAAATAGTGAAACAGAGGGCGAAGTGCGAAGTGTGATTTTTGTTTGGTAAATGCGAAATTCAGTTCATATGTGAACTATTTTACTGAATATGAATATTTTTAAATTAAAATTTATTCTTTGTCTTCTTTTTTCTTTTTTTAAAGTTTATTTATTTTCAGAAAGAAAGCGTGAGTGGGGGAGAGGCAGAGAGAGAGAGAGGGAGAGAGAGAATCCCAAGCAAGCTCCACACTGTCAGTGCAGAGCCTGACGTGGGGCTCAAACTCACAACCCATGAGATCATGACCTGAGCTGAAATCAATAGTCAGACGCTTAACCAACTGAGCCACCCAGGCGCCCCTGCTAATTGTTTTAAAATTAGAAAACAAATTGAGAAAATAATGATTAACACAAGATTATTGTTGAAATAATTTGGCATATGGAGGAGAAGTATGAATAAAAAAATGGTGCAAGTATCAGATACTCTGGAGAGAGACTGAAAAGTCCAATGCTTTGTCTCACTCTGGTACCAGCAGAATGTAAAGTGAGAAGCATCAGGGTGTAACAAGAGGGGGTCTGGTGTCTTTTTTTTTATTATTATTATTTATTTGCATTTTTTTAATGTTTATTTATTTTTGACAGAGAGAGACACAGAGCATGAGCAAGGGAGGGGCAGAGAGAGAGGGAGACACAGAATACGAAGCAGGCTCCAGGCTCTGAGCTGTCAGCACAGAGCCCGACAGGGGGCTTGAACCCACCAGCTGCAAGATCATGACCTGAGCCAAAGTCAGAAGCTCAACCGACTGAACCACCCAGGCGCCCCATGGTATCTTTTTGATAATCACAGAATCCTGAATACTTACTCACTTTGGGAAAGTTACTTAATCTTTAATCATTTACCTCTCCATGAAATAGGAATGATGGCCCCTACTTGGGGCACCTGGGTGGCTCAGTCAGTTAAGCATCCAACTCTTGATTTGGGCTCAGGTCATGATCTCACAGTTTGTGGGTTCGAGCCCCATATCAGGTCTGTGCTGACAGTGTGGAGCCTGCTTGGGATTCTCTCTTTCCCTCTCTTTCTGCCCCTTCCCCGTCCCTGCCTCACTCTCTTGCACACTCTTTCTCTCTCTGAAAATAAATAAATATTACATAAATAAGAAAACACATTAAAAATAGGAATAATGACCCCTACCAGTGGGTTCAGAAGATTCATTGAGTTAGTAGTTAGTTGGTAAAGCACTTTGTACAGAGGGAGGAAAACACTAGACTGCTTGTTACAAAAGATCAGATATGAAGAATGCTCTGATTTGTTGTTCCGCATAGTGCTTAACACAGGGATGCTTGGGATTAGATGTTACGTGACTCCTGGAGGGGGGTTCTGACACCATTGTGCCTGGTGGCTCTGAATGACCTATTGTTACCGGCTACTCTGCCCTGTTCCCTGGAGGAGTTGCCCGGGGAAGTGACACAAACCCCACTAGCATCTAGGCATGCTCTGCCATCTGGGAAGCAGACATGTTTCCAAGGCATTCGAGTATGAAATGTTGACACCCGACATCAGGACAGCCCTCTGACCTCCAACAGCACACCCCTTTCTTCCAAAAGGAGCCAATCAAGATGTGGTCTCCCAATTCCAATCCTTCATTGCTTTTCATCACATACTGCTGGCTTTAGCACAAAGAAAGCAAATTTTGGACAAGGAGTGTGCCTTGTTTTTCCCGCTTCCCACCACATCAAATTATAAGCACCAGAGTTATCCACAATTTCAGTTGTTCCCTGTGTTTTTATATCCATGGTTGGATGGATTCTAGTTAAACCCAGTAGAAATCTGTCCCCCAAAAATCTGGTTCAGATGTTCCTGTGCTTTCTTATGTGCTCAAATTAATGAAAGCTTAGCTGAATATGTTTCTTCTTCATAATGCTGACAAAACAGGGCTGCAGCCAGATAATAAACTGGAGTGAAACACTGTGGCTCTCCCAGTAAATCTGAGCTCTGTAAGGCAGGTGACAATGAAGGAGCTCCTATGGTGGCAAGCGCCTTGCCTTCTGCTATAGGTTTCCGTCCATTCCCATCAATCAGTGATAAGTTGGTAAAGAGATTTATCAGCTGTGTATGTGGCATTATATACTGATTCCCTTGCTGATAGTTAAGAATAAAAAGCATTGTCCATCCGTCCATTAGAGATTAGTTTACGCAGAACTTGCTTAGCTCAGGTACAGAGAAAGTAGTGCTTTGCCTTCCTTGATCTGCTGCAGACATAACAAAAGGGCACCGGAGGGTGTGTGTGAGCTTTGTCTTCCTAAGCAGTGTGGCCACAAGACGGAGATGCTAAACATGGGGACGGTAAACAGTGCTTCCCTTGTTGAGGGAAAGACATGTGAGTTGGCCTTAGTCCCATTTTATTTATTTATGTATCCAGGATGGGATTGTTTTGGAATGCAACAAAAGATTATTCAGGCTGTTTTGTTTGGTTCTGTTTTTCAGATCAATGTTAATGACAGCCTGTGACCTTGGAGCCGTGACCAAACCATGGGAGATCTCGAGACAGGCAAGTGGTGATTAATGGCAGGGCTCAGCAGAGGAGGAACTGCGGGAGGGGGGCGGGGGGAACAATATTCCCAGAGCCCAGACTCCCAGGCACTGAAACCCTAGTCAATTTGCATCAGTATTAACATGGTGTAAAAAATAGCGGGAGGCTTGGGCACGACATAGTTTATTGCACAGCCTTTCTTTAACGTGCTTCCACTGAATAATAGTATTTCTGACTCTGTAAGATTTTGTTAACACTCTAAATCCAAATAACACATTGACCATTTCCTAAGGCAAGAGTTTCAAAAATAGTGTTTTTAAATAGGTAATCGTGTTTTAGCACAAGGTCCACTTTTTTCTCATCTGGAAAAAAAAAAGAAAAAGAAAAAAAGAAAAAAACAAACCAAGAAGGTCAAAAGGAAATTTTCTTTTTATTTAAAGACTATTTGGAGATGAAATCACGGTGGCCAAAGTGTGTAATATCCAAATTTAATTTGTACCCCCCAAAAATGGTGCCTTTACCATCTATCTGGTCTTACTGCTAAAAGTGTTAGTTTAGAGCAAGAACAGGTTTCAAGCCAGTAACCACACAATTTAAGATCCTTGATTACTGATAGTATTTGGAGATTAAACTCTTTTTTAATTTTCATGTGGCACACCTACTGTGTGGGGTCTAAAATAGTAACTTGGTATCTTAAGTCTCACCATTTTAAGGAAAATAAAGTAGACTCATATAACAATAAATAACTAATATTTATTGACTAAATATCTAATTTTAAATGACTCCTTTATATGTATTATATCACTTAATCCTCCAACTTTGATTTAGGTATAGTCAGTCTAGTAGGCTGAATAATGGCAACTGAAAGATATTGGATGCTAATTTCTGGAACCTGTAAACATTGCCTTAGAAGGAAAAAGGGTATTTGCTGATGTGATTAAGTTAAGGGCCATCATTATCCTGGATTATCCAGGTGAGACCTAAATTCAATGACAGGTGTCCTCCTAAAAGAGAGAGAGAGAGAGACACTGGGAGATTATACCTTCAGAATAGGGGAAGAGGATGTGAAGAGAAGGCAGAAAGTAGAGTGATGTGGCCACAAACAAGGGAAAGCTGGTAACTGCCAGAAAGTAGAAGAGGCAAAGGACAGATTCTCCCTTAGAGGCTCCAGAGCAAGCTCAGCCTTGGCAAAACCTTGATTGCTGTCCAGTGAAGTGATGTTGACCTGCCAATCTCCAGAACTATGAGAGAACAGATTCCTTATTGCTTTAAGCCACCAAGTTGTGGTCATTTCTGGCAACACTGGGAAACTTATACAGTTATTACCCCTATTTCACAAATGGGGAAAATGAAGCCTAGAAAAGATAAGTAGCTTGAGGTGATACACCTAGTAAGTTGATAGAGCTAGGTATTCAAATCCCAACAGAGTAGTCTCCAAAGCCTTCGTTCTTTACAGCACTTCTACTCTTTCTTATACCAGATATACCAGTTGGCATTTTTAAATGATGCCAGTGTGTCAGCAGAATGGGCTGTTATCCCTCAGCCTCAGTGGCTTAACACAACACACTGCTTATGAACATGGGCATCCAGGACCAGCTTGGTACCATTCCTCATTTTGGACTGCGACTGAGGGAGCAGCTACCATTTGGATCATTCCGACAGAGGCCCTAGCATGTCTTGCACTGGCAAATAAATGCAAACAAATCCCCAGAAATTCATTGGCCAGAACTTGTCACAAGACCCCACCCAACCAGGAAGTAAAATCCTTTCCTGTGCCCAGAACGTAGAAAGCCAGAAATAGTTGATGAAAACGTGACTACCACAGTTTGCCCTTCTAATCACCAAAAATGTGATTCACTCTCCTTCCTCAGGCAAAATATGCTCATCCTGTCCCCAAGGGAGATGACCCAAATGTCCCAAGAGTCATGGTATCAAGCTCAAGTCCAGGATCTCTGGGTGATCTATGCCAGTCTCCACATCAGGTCTGGATGCAAATTAAAGACCTACACACACCCCAAACACAGCATTTGACTTACACTCAAACCACAAAACACTCATTACAACACTCCCATTCAGAAGGGGAAGAGATGACCAATATTTGGCAGTTAGGAGGCCACGGCAATTCCAAAATCCCACTGGGCATTCACTGGAAGGCCATCCACTCTGTGGTAGACCCTGATTCTCTGGGAGACGCTCCCCAGTCATCATTGTCCATGGCCCTTAGATCTACCCTGGGACATTATTCCTTTTCCATTGCCTTCCTTGGCTGTATCCAATGGCCAGGCAGTTTTCTCAGCCTGTTTCCCACCTAAAGAAGATTGAGGACCCAAGGCTTGTTTTAAGTTTTAAGTAGTCACAGTCTTAGGGGGGTTTTGGCACCAAACTCTCTTAAACATTTAGCCAGCTTCTTATGTCTTTGTTCCTAGTCACTTCCATTTGCCAATAACCACATCTACAGTTCCATTCTAGACAGACTTCTTAGATCTGCTCTATCTCTTTGCTTCCTTGTATTAAAGAACAAAGAAAATTAGCATATGTACTTCTTTCTTCCTCTTTCATGATCCAGTTCCTAGTATTCAGGGCCTAATGATTTTTCTGGGCCATTTGTCCAATTGAAGGGATATCCTGTGTACCGCCTAATTCATTCAGTTTTTAACTGTGGATGCACTGGCCCTACCTTTGATTCTAGTTGTAAGGCTGGGTCTTGATCAGCCTTTGTCATTCAAAACATATCTCAATTTTTATTTTTACACTTTGGGGTTAAAAAGCAGCTCTGTCTTCCATCCCTGAAGATGAAGACTCTGAATTTGTGACTCTCTCCTTTCCCTTTCATTCCTGGTTGTAAACCTGCCAATCCTTTTCGGAGCTCACTTCTTACAATACTTAGCAAAACACAGTCAACAGCAATTCTCACATGCTACCAACATTTTGTTTTCCAGTATCTTCCCCTAAGGCTATAAATTCATTAGATATATTATTTGCTTTATTTCAAAGAGAATTGTACAAAATATTTTGCCACTGTGTACCATGGGTGTCATCCTTACAGCCTCCAACAGCCATTTCCTCACTGTTTTACACATGCCCCCTAAGCTGATGCTACATATTTTAGGGTCTTTTTATTTTTCTTCCTTCTTTTTCTTTCTTTCTAAAAAGAACGCACCTCATTTCCATACCATTTTTTTGTGTGAGTCAAACTAGGCTAGGCTTTGCTGCAATAACAAATATATTCTCAAATTTCAGTTTCTTTACTCAAAGAAAAGTTTATTTCTTGTTCCTATCACAATCCAATGCAGATTTCCTATAAAGTTCTCCAATAAATAGCTCTCCTCCAATTGAACTTTGGTTTTCATTTTGGTTTTCAACTTCACACTTGAAGTTACATAAAACAGGGAGGAATTTGCTTGGTTGAGTAGCGTATTTCTATATCTCTGCGCACCCTTCACTTCCCCAGTGTGGGAAGCCTCCCCTATAGTAAAGTCTGGACCAGAGAAGAGATAGGTATCTTCCAGGTATCAGGAAAAACTGTAGTAGTGGGGTGGCCTCTTGAATTGGGATGGAAAGAAGTGGAGGGGTAGAGAGCAGAAGAAAATTCAGGGGACCAGGGGGAAAATAGAGAAGATTGGAAAGAGAGTGGGATGATGTATGATATGCCGGGACTTTCAGAAACCCCAGTGAAATGCATGTCAACAACTAAAGGAGCAGTAGCCCACTTGGGAGTGGGGAAGGGACAGGACAAAGTACTTAACAAGAAAAAAAGGTTCTGCATTGATGTTGTAGACCAACTTGGGAGGCCTATTGGCCGGTCTCTTGGTCATTGATGTAAATAGTATTTTATTTTTAGGATGTGAAGTTCTGCTGATCAGTGCAGAAAAAACTCAAGAGTTTGGGGAAATAGAGCACAAAACCATGTTTTTCCAAACACTTGCATCAGAAATCATGCCACAGCTCTAAACTGGAGATCTCATTTGTGTTTGTCTCCAAACTGAATAGGTTAAAACATTTTCAAAAACATACTTCTATGATTTTAGGAAACATTTGGACAAAAGCAATAGAACCTTCTTTTTAAAATATAAATATATTTCTAATTTCTTAGAGGTTGATATTTTTAAATTTCCTTGCAAAATGGGTTTTTTTTACTGGTGTCTATTCCAGTTTTACTTCCTCACAAACATGACTCTAAGCATGTGGGTTTCCCCAGTGACCCCCCCCCCAGGCCTGATTAGCATCTCAATTTCCTTCTTTAATAAAAAATTCAATTAGGAGCCACTTAATGTTCCTGATTGGGTTTTTAAGTACAAATGAAACAGTGATACAAGTTGAACTGTGAAAGAAGCTCAGGGGAGATACCCAGGACCACTTTAGAAAGATCAAGGACAGGATTGTGTTTTAATTTCTTTGCTTTCCAGGGGTGATAGACCTGTGTAGGACTCCTACCTGGGGGTGACCTGATGTGCACATTTGTATTCTTTAGTGCAAAAGACCCACCTCAGAACAATCTGAGGGAGTGTTCTGGGGACTGAATAAATGAGGCCAGGCCCTTAGGGGACCATTTCTTTTTTAAAGGAAGGCCAGAGACAGAAAGAGAGGCCTGGAGTGCTAATGTGGCAGAGACTAGAGAGAGAAGTGAATCAGGCCCTAGAAAAATTGAGCCAGCTCCAACTAATTTTATGCTATTGAATTTTTTAAAGGTACCCATATTCCTTATAAGAAATGTTTAAAATCTGGACTGACTAGATATTCTATTTCTTTACATATGAGCTACATACTTGCTATTCTCAGGGTGTGTGTGTGTGTGTGTGTGTGTGTGTGTGTGTGTGTGTAAGAGATAGAGATGTTTTTATGTTTTATCAATGGTTATGATTTATGGTGGACAAAATCTCTTGAGAGATACACTTAGGTAAATTATGTTGATTCTATCCACTTGACCAAAAATTAAACCATTCTAGCCTTTTCCAGACCATGAATCTCATCTTCATAAGATCCTGGAATAGAGGAAAAACTGGTTGGGGGATCTAGACCTTCTTGCCTTCAACTTTTCTGAAATTTTGTTTTCTGCTCGTCCAAATTTTGTAAATCCAGCCAGTTCATCTGAGAGATTTCCTAGATCTTGTTCCTTAGTATTGTTGAAAATACCTGTTTAACACTTACCTGTTATATCATTATGCTTCCCATAAGCTATCATTAGAAGCACAGGGCTTGGAGAAGCTTCTCTGTAGCTTAACAATGATCAATCATCAACTTCTGATCATCCATGCTAATAGATGAAAAGTGAAAAAAAATAGAAGTCCTTACTCTGGAAAAATCTCTACCATTTGCTTGTACCAACTAGAACCTACCATAAATTAATACTTTTAGTACATAGATTAAGACAGCTGAAGACCAAATCAACATTCTTCAAACTGTATCATGACACACTGTAAAAAACAAGACAAAACAAAACAAAAAAACTGGTATGAACAGTGAATCTAGCATTAGTCCTGCCCCTTAACTAATTGCTACAGTAAGAAGCAGAGGTGTGCCCTGGGGTTATCCTCTCCAGAGTCCACACAATTATTGATAGGGTGAGGCAGTTAAGGAGTTTGGGGGATGGCCAATGAAGCCAAGCTAAGATAAAAGTGTGCAACAAAGTAAAGAATCTGGGTTGACACAACCAAAGGTTAGCAAAAATATTGCAAGTATATTATAATATGGAAACAGAAATTATGATTAGGGATTATTTGCCTCATTTTTCTATAATAAGAACATTTCCTACTTTGAAGCTGGCAACCCCATGCCTCATTGGGAATATGGAATCTGCACGGTCAGAGATCATCTACTGGCAGGCATCTGAAGATACCCTGCACAAGTTCTTCTGATTAAAAGGAAATCAGTTTCATTGATTAAGTTCTATAATATGTTGAAACAGAAAAGGTTAATGTACTCCTTCAAAAGCTTTTTAAATTATTATCTATGTTGAAGATAATCACTATACATGTAAGGCAGAAATAACTTCTGAGTCTTATGATAAATTACACATAACCATAAATTACATATTTATATGTTCCAGGTGGCTGAACTTGTAACCAGTGAGTTCTTTGAACAAGGAGATCGGGAGAGATCAGAACTCAAACTCACTCCTTCAGTAAGCCCATCCTTTTATTATGACACATTTAGCCTTTGGAATGACATTTTCAGAAGCAACTCCAAATCACACCCTGAAAGTGGGAAAGACTGAGAGTGGATTTAAGAAAGCACTCCTGAAAGTTTAAAACTTTAATTAAACTTAGACGCTAAACACTCCTATTCCCAGGTTTCTGATTAAGAGTGGTGAGCTACTTAACAAGCACTTCCTGAGCTCACATGGTAAGACAAGTAGGCACAAGGGAGGATGTACCAAGTGGCACTGGAGTAGCTCAAAGCCCAGTGCTGGCATTACATAAGTGAGTGGTCTGTACCTACCTTGGAAGAGAAATACAGACAAAAGTCAAAGGCAGGCTGTCCAGCCTTGAGGAGCTTAGAACAGACAACTGCAGTAAATAATGGTCGTTCTGGGTTTTATTTTCCTGTTTGGGGCTTTCTAAAATCCCAAACCCAGATCATTTCAAGTCTCTGTTTCTTTCCTTTGTTTGCAAAATGAAAAGTCTCACTTGGGGAACTAGGTTCTGTTGACTGAAATGCTATTTTTGTTGGATTCACCCATTCAATTATTATTTGAGAATGCTTACTGTAGGCTCAGGATGATGCTGTTTTTACTCAAACAAGACAAAAGACATAAATGCCTCATCCACAAGGAGGGGGTGGCCTCTATTCTTAAGGAATGGTTAGCTACAAATCGTCACCTCACAACTCAAAGAATGGTACAAAGTACTGTGAAGCTGGTACAGCACAGTAGATACAGTTAGGCTCATTAATAGATTCATTAGGCTTAAGGAATGTTTGAATTGTCAGGAATGTCTGTTTATGAGGATTCAAGTCAACCGAGTTCTGAACATTTGGAGGTTACTTGTAAGATCTTCAAGTTTTAGGACGCCTTTCTTTGCGAGCATTTAAAAGTAAGGAAAAGCCAGAGAGCTAGCTCTTAGTCAAAGAGCTTCACCTGTCTGAAGTCAGACCTCACAGCCTTAACTAATTTTAACTATTCTTAATTTGTTGCCTACCTATAAAAGGTCAGAAGACTCCATAGGCTAAAACACTCACCCTGTATTTTAGTTTCCAAAGCAGTATCTACTTATACTGTTTCCAGAACATCCCTTTATTCTTTTTTGGTGGTATCAGCAGATTTGGCTGTGATACCAGTTTGGGGTACATAGTTAATGTGTAAAACCCTAGTGACAACCCAAATTCCTCTCAGCTACGTGTTTATTTTCAAATGAAAGCTTTCTTCCACTTAAAAATTGTTTCAGGGGCTTTGTCTGAAGGGTTTATAATGTAGCAATACCACAGGTCATTTAATTAAGTGGGAAAAAAAATGAGTCGGTTGCCAGCATTGGCGACTTGGCAAGTGCAGTGACGCAGCACTAAGGAGGCTTTGTACACTCAGGTAAGGCGTTCGCTGAACACATAAATGAAATTAATTTTGCGGTGGAAACATAGCACTAAATGCTACTCTCTCCTCGCAAAAGGCTACTCAACATGGCCAATGACAGTCTCCTGGCTGCTGTGGCAGGGGTATTTCTCATTAGTCCTTTCCCAAAGATGTCTGGAAATGCATGCATGCAGAGGTGACACCAGTTGTGTGTCTTTTATTCTTTGATGTTTAGGGAGAAAATTGTCTGGGAATTCCTCCATCTGGTGTCACGGTCCTAGAGGTCATCAGGGTAACTTTCTGAAGACAACGGCTAATCTAGACCACAGCCAAGGGTTAATAGTAGAAGCAGTGAGTCAGTTAGTAAAACATGCTCGAGCACCTCTGGGTAGCGAGCATGAAGCTGGGCACTGTGCATCCAGCCATGAGCAAAGCTGTCAACTGAGGGAAAGATAGACATTATATAAATAATCACTCATAATCAACTACAAGATGCAAAAGGCTGTAAAAGGAAAGCACAGGACAATCAATGTGCTATCTCACACTTGCACTCAAAAACATTTATTGAGAAGTGACTAGTCTAGAAATAAACTTTTACAGTATGGCCAACTGTCAACAGAATGCTAAGACAATTCAATGGGGTCAGTCTTCTGTCTTCTCAAATAGTGCAGGGACGGCAGGATATCCACATGCAAATGAATGACACTAGATCCCTGTCACCAAATCTCAAAATAATCTCAAAGTGGATCATAGACCTAAATGTGAGGGCTAAAACTATATGAGACTCTTAGAAGAAAACAAGGTATAAATCTTCTGAAAAATAAAATAGATACATTGGACTTCATTAAAATTTAAAACTTTGCATCTTCTTTTTTTTTTTTTTTTTTACTTCAGCTGTTGTTTATTGACACAGGTAGGCTCTATAGCAACAGGCTGGGAGGTGGCTGCAGTAGTGGGGAAAATGGAGGGTGGGGGGAGTGTTTGCCTTCAACGACCGCTGAGTAGAGTGTAGGAAGACAAGCGCACAATGCATGACAAGGTGGGAGTGGGGGGAGACTGAGGGGGGTGGGGGAGCAAGGAAGGGCCCCGGCCAGTCTCCTTAAACCAGAACCACTGCCCTATGCCACAACTCTTGTTGGCGGTCTCTTGATGCCAGGCCAGGGGTGGGAGTTGTCTGGGTGTCCGTTTTCTGTAGGAACTGAGTGGAGTACACAAAAAGGAGGAGATGCAGGATCCGTTGCCCTCTGTGAAACTTTGCATCTTAAAGGACACTATCAAGAAAATGAAAAGACAGCCTACAGTATAGAGAAATTATTTGCAGATCATCTATCTGATATGGGCCTGGTATCTAGAATATATAGAGAACTATTACAATTCATAGAAAGACAACCCAATTTTTTAAAAGGGAAAATGATCTGAATACATATTTCTCCAATGAATATCTATATATGTATATATAGATACATACATGGCCAATAAGCACATGAAAAGATGCTCAAAATCATTAGTCATCAGGGAAATGCAAATCAGAACCAAAATGAGACACCACTTTCACAGGGACTAGCTACAATTAAAAAGATAGACAAAAACAAGTGTTGGTGAGGATGTGGAGAAACTGGAACTTCCCACACTGCTGATGGGAACATAAAGTCATGCAGCTGCTTTGGAAAACAGTTTGACAATTAACGAAAACATTAAACATTGGCTTCAGCACGTGGCCCAGCAATTCTGCCTCTAGGTATATCCCCAAGAGAAATGAAAACATACACTTGCATAGAAACTTGTACGTGAATGTTCACATTATTCATAATAGCCGATAAGTGGGAACAACCCAAATGCCCATCACCTGATGAATGGATAAATAAAATATGGTGATCTATACCATACATACCAAATGTACATACCAAATGTAATATCATTTGGCCATAAAAGGGATGAAGTGCTGATGCATGTTACAGGAATGAACCTTGAGAACATCATGCGTGGTGAAAGAAGCCTGTCACAAAAGACCACGTATCATACGATTCCATTTATGTGAATGTGCAGAATAACCAAATCTATACAAACAGAAAACAGATCACTGGTTGCCTAAGGGTAGAGCCTTGGGGGAGTTGAGGAGTGACTGCTAACTGATACGAGATTTCTTTTTGGGGTGATAAAAATGTGCTAAAATTGACTATAGTAATGGTTGCACAACTAATTGTGAATATACTAAAAACCACTGACACTGAATAAAAAAAAAAAAAACAAACACAATTCTATACACCAGAAACAGTAATTAAGTAAATAAGGAAATTTCAGATAGCAATGAGCACTGAAGAGTAGATAACAGAATATTATTTTTTAATATTTATTTATTTATTTTTGAAATTGAGAGACAGCATGAGCAGGGGTAGGGGCAGAGAGAGAGAGAGAGAGGGAGACACAGAATCCAAAGCAGGCTCCAGGCTCCGAGTTGTCAGCACACAGCCCAATGCAGAGCTTGAACCCATGAACTGTGAGCTCATGACCTGACCGACTGAGCCACCCAGGCGTCCCTAGAATAATATTTTTAAAGGAACATTTTGGACAAAGACTCGTGCAGTTCACAAGAACCACTCCTTCCCCCAGCAGACCCTAGTCCTCTTTCCTGGTATTTCACATTTCATGTTGCAAGACAAGGATGAGAAGAGCCTGCGGGAGTCAGTGACCTTCTCTGACTGGAGATTTTTTTGGAGATATTTCCCTCAGCAGCACTCTTATGTCTTCTTGTGAGCCCTGGCAGCTGGTGATTTCTGTCCTGCCCACTCCCACCCTCATTGATAAGTCTGAAGGGTGCTGGATTGTGCAACATCTCCAGACGAAGGGAAAGTCCTGGATCTTCCTTCATGACCTGTGTGAATGCTGAGATGATGTGGATGTCACCCACTATCTCTGTAAAGACCAAACCTACTCTAAGACAGGAATGCAGGGAAAGGTCGCTTCTCAGACCCTGGCCTTATTCTTTTTGATAGCAAAGACAGGGACATTCTTAAGGGAGTAGAACTGGCAGTGTTTGTTCAAGAATCCCCCTTGGCCCCCAATTCCAACTGATTGTTTCCCTTTTTATGTCTGCCCAACAGATATATGTCCCTTCTTTTTCTCAAAAAAGTATACCTAAAATTTCTAAACATTGTAATATCATGAAGTTTAAAGCCTGGGAGTGAGGAGAGAATGGGTACCTGCCACCATCATCCATCCAATGATAGATAAAAATTTAGGAATCTATTAATGACAGAAGCTTATCGAAAAACACAGTTGTCAAACCCACACCCCACCCTGAAAAATGAATACAAATAGTTTCTGTTTAAAATGAAACTGCTTTTAAAGATCTTTTCTCATCTATCCCACCTTCTTTCACTATAAAAATAAGAGCCTGCATTATTTTTGTGGCAATGAAACATATCCCCTTCCCCTTGACTCATACCCAATTCCCAGTAAACTGATGACTTGATTTAGTGGCCATTACCTGTATCTGAAGACAGATTTTGGCCCCAAGGAGTTGCGTGCTATAAAGTTCAAATAAATTCGCTTACAAATCTCATAAAAAGAGGTGAAAATACTTTCTTTCTCATCACAGATAAAGGAAAAGAAAGTACATGTAAAGATTGATTGTGATTTGTGAAGTGTTCGGTTGGTAAAAATTGGATCACTGTGGCAAAGTGTTGACAAAGCACCTGTAAAATACTCCAGAGTAATAAAGACAAGCTTCTCCTCCCCCATTCTAGGCTATCTTTGACCGGAACCGGAAAGATGAACTGCCTCGGTTACAATTGGAGTGGATTGATAGCATCTGTATGCCTTTGTATCAGGTACTCAGGATTTGGGAGGTGGGGGGAAGGAGTTGGCGGTGCATGTCCTGACTGAGCCAGGAAAGAAGAGTGTATGTACTCTCAGAAACGTTAGTTTTAGGAGACCTTTCCAGGGTAAGTGTATTGCTAAGAACTTTGGCTGTGGTCAATCTTTTCTCAGATTTCTGACCGTCTCCTAGGAAAAGTTAGTGCTAGGAGGCCAGAGACCTGAGTTCTCCTTCTGGGACATAATCTCCATGGGCCTTGATGCCCCCATCTATAAACCAGGATTAAAAATATTTTACCTCAGTATTTCCCAAGCTGTGCCCTGTGGAACACAAGTATCCAGCCATAGCCTAAAAGATATCTCTTCAAAAAGAGCTCTCAGGCCCAACAACTAGGGAACCTGAAGGCTCAGAGGAGTCCTTCAGGAAAGAAACATGTTCAACTTTGATCAATGCCAAATTTCTCAAACATTTGACTGTCGAAATCTTCTTCATTTTTGTTTTACAAGTTTTCTTTCACTTTTACTAATATCCTACGAGACACAAGAGTTCCATGAAACCATGACACCTGGCCTTCTGTCCTGATCGCATGGTCTGGGCCACAGAGTTTTGAAAGAACCTTCCATGGGAAAGCTCTGCCTCTCTCTGAGACGCATGTGACAAATGCCGCTGCCTGGTGGTCGGGACCCTGCTTCTGGCAAGGAGACAAGTGTCATGGGCTTTGAATGTTCACACTCCACTTTTTGAGTACAGATTAGGATCGGCACCAGTTAACACTAACGGTTTAGTGTTCATTGGCTTTTAATTCTGCTACTAAGCATTTGCTTTCATGTGTAAAACCTGGCGAGTTCTTTACCCCCTACCTCGCTCAATCAGACTGAGCTGCTTTTCCAACTTCAAAGTGAGAAACACATGCAGAGAAAGCAAAACCGCGTTAGTTTCTCACTCTGTGTAACTCCATTAAAAACACAGTATTGGTTTTTAAGGACCTCACAACCATTAAGTTTCAGGCTTATCTACCACTTCGTTTTCAACACTTTTAGGAGCTGCTGAGCCCTGTCACATTACACTAAAAAAAAAAAAAAAAAATCCTAGAATACTATCTTGAAGATAGAAATGAAACTTTTTAATGACTATCAACAGCAAAAAACACCAAAATTCATATCTTTGTTTTACATGAACCATTCAATACATGATAGCATAAAATCAAAGTTTTAAAATAATCTTAAGTACATTATTTTAGCTATAAATGGCACATAATGCTCTTGTTTAATAATGAAAACTTGGGTGAAAAAATCAAGAGTAACGTACACTTTATTATAAGAGGCTTCTTGACTTTCTTTTCTTCCTGTCTGCTCCTCCCACCCTTGCTTCTCTGGTATCTCTGCATAAGCTGGGTGCCCAGGTACAAAGCCCACAGCTGTTGGGTCAGATATATCTTGTTTTGCTAAATTCGCCTTGACTACCCATGTTGAATTATTTATAATTTATTCAGTTTCCTGTGCCCACTGAGGCAATAAATGGGATGAATTTTTGCAATTAGTAAATTCCTTTTACGGTGGGTAAAGCTTAGGAGGACGAAGACTTGTAATTGTGGGACAGATAAATTTTCGATATTAGTTTGCAAAGCTTCTTTGGAATGGACCCAAAGTCCACATATCCTTCCTATGTGATTGGTTATAATAAATGCTGGCAAGGATTCTCATGGGCTTTTCCGTGCTAATTTCATTGTTTTGCGTCTGATTCTCAATTCTTTGGGCTTATCTTATACTTTCTATTAAGTACTTTGAAATCTTCAGGTTAAAAAAGAAACTACTTGAAATTGAAATCGAAACTAGCACTTTCCAGAATTTAGGGAGTAATACCACATCACATTATCTATCATTCTTGATTTTCCACATCTGTTTTACTTTACTCCCTGTCTGTGAGGTTAGATACACCTGCTATTTTTATCCACAGAAAATTAACATAGAGCAGTTTTAAGTGACATTCCCACCAAGTTAGAGTTGTGTCCCGCATATCCGTGGCCTTGGTTTTGGTGTAGTGGTCTTTCTACCACCCATTCCACCTCTGCTGGGTATTTCTTCCACAATCTTTTCTTATTAAACTAACGAGAGAATCATGGCATTGTAAAGAGGAGTGTAGAAGGAGTTGTTTATAAAAGTTCATGTTCAGGGGCACCTGGGTGGCTCAGTTGGTTAAGCGTCTGACTCTTGGTTTCAACTCATGTCATGATCTCGTGGTTTCATGGGTTTGAGCCCTACATCAGGCTCTGTGCTGACAGTGCAGAGCCTGCTTGGGATTCTGTTTCTCCCTCTCTCTGCCTCTCCCCCTTCATGCTGTCTCTGTCTCTCTCAAAATTAATTAATTAAAAAGATTTTTTTTTAAGTATGTTCATTTCTGCTGCTATGTCTTCTCAGCTAGCAAAGTATGAAAATCATGTTCATTTTAAATGTCTTATCATCACTTATTTTTTAAAATAACACAGATTTTATTTGTAAATTCTTTATAAGTCTTTGAAACCAGTATTTCAAAAAGCCCTCAAACTGAAACTTTGCTGAATGATTTTAAGTGTCCTCTCTGAGAGTCCCTATTTTGTTCCATCTCACACAGTTGGGGGAGAAGGGGATTGTCCGTTATTTAAATGGGCAATCTGACATTCACTGTTGCGCCCTGGAGCTGAAATGGAATCAGTCAGTGGGCAGGAATCACCATTAGTGCAAAGATACAAAACGTTGAGGAAGTAACTCACCAAGCAAGAGCAGTCACTGGTATGACACTAGTTCCTGCAAAAGTCTGCAGGAACTCAGGTTGTTGCCAAAAGGGAAGAATGAGGTTTCAAACATGAAAGTGCAGTCATAAAGAGCCTGAGAAAATAGAAAGCAGATGGGAAAGTATGCAGGTGGCCAGAATCTCAAAAAGGGATTATCTGAAATGCCATGGTCTGAATTATGTAGAGTGTAGAAATCCAGGGTGGCCTTGCTAGGTCAGTCTGGGCGCAGGGGAAGAGGATACAGAATAGTACAGATGAGACAAAGAATGTTCCTTTTCATGGCCAGGACCCTGCCCCCAAGGTGGAGCGGGTTGGGTGGCTGGAAACCTCATGTAGAACCTGAGGCAGATAGATACTCATGGAGAGAGCTGGGATCTCGTGCAGGGGAGCAGTGTGGAGAGCGCCCTCTAGCGAGGGTGGAAGCTCACCGAAGCACTGGGCTGATGGCCTGAAGGTGGAATGCGGAAGGAGTTTAGTAGCAGGGTAGAGAGGGAGCTGAGTGGTGGATACAAATTTGGTTTTAGTACAGCTTTTTGACTTCATTGACTTTCACTGGGTGAAGTGGTTTCCCTTCATGGTGTTGAAAAGCTTGTGCATACGTCAAACTTCAAAATAGATCAGGCACTTTCCTCTTTCACTCCAGTTTGCTGAGTTTTGTCCTTCCTCCAAGCCAAGGGTAGATTATGGATAGTCTTGGGTGCCTGAAGGGCTACTTACTAGTGTGCTAGGTGGGAACTCACACAAACTACATTTTGGATGCCCACTGCATTTAAAACTGAAACTCTTATCTCTGAGACAACTTAAACTTCCAGGTAGGGCCAATGTTGAAGGAGAAGCAGGCCAACTCCTCCAATCCTCCTAAAATCTATTCGTTAGGAAGTTACCTAAGTAATCTAGTGATTGACTGGAAGTGACTGCCAGAAAATACATAAAAATATATAAACAAAGTGGTGCGTGGAGAAGGAGCATGCCCAGAACACTTCCAGATTGACAGATAGTTATATTGTAGAGAGATGCGACACTAATATTTACATGTGAGTATATAATTCTCCAGAACTTGCTTGTCTTTTTAATCTGGTGGCTCCAAACTTTTCTTTGAAAAAAATAGAAAATGGTCCTAACAGGCAGAAGTCATGATTTATCTGTGACAGCATTTCAATCAGGAAGCATATAGGAAGTCAAGAGTGGGCAGGGACCCATCAGAGCGTGTGCCCCAAGAGAAGACGAGAGCCCAGTTAGTTAGCTCCGTCCTAGCAGGGTATCTTGGAGGAACACATTGACATCTGATTCCCATGCTTTCTGCTGTCTTTGCACCCTGCTGGGATCCATTAGCCTGCTGCTCAACATCTTTGGAGGGAGAAAAAAATATAAAGAAAGAAAGAAGAAAAAGAAAAAAAGACACCATCAAACTTTGAAGCCACTGCTGTACCAGCCTTAGGGATAAACAGAAAGCCTGATGTGACAGCATCACACTGAGCTTCTCTTGCAATAGCGAGCTCAGTTTTTGCCCTTTGTTTTCATTCTTGACTTAATCAAACCTCAGTGTACCTAGAATTTCAATGGTGCATAGAGGCATTATAAATCTTCTGTTGTTAAGGATTGAGGGATTTAATTGTTATTATGAACATAATCGCATTTGCAGCCCATCCCAAACAGGTTCTTGACTTGGAGGTGGATTTTTTCCACAGATATTTCAAAAAGGCTTGACCTGGACAGGATCTAGCTGGAACAATTCCCTGTCTAGTTCTGCAAGCGTATTGCCTCTTTATTAAAATGCCAAGGAGTTTCTGCAACAGGCAGGGCTTCTGATGTTTTGATTACAGTAACTTTTGACCTTTTTTCTGCCTTCAGTTGTAATAGTCGTTTTGAAAAATACCTTCACCGGGGCGCCTGGGTGGCGCAGTCGGTTAAGCGTCCGACTTCAGCCAGGTCACGATCTCGCGGTCCGTGAGTTCGAGCCCCGCGTCGGGCTCTGGGCTGATGGCTCAGAGCCTGGAGCCTGTTTCCGATTCTGTGTCTCCCTCTCTCTCTGCCCCCCCCCCCGTTCATGCTCTGTCTCTCTCTGTCCCAAAAATAAATAAACGTTGAAAAAAAAAATTAAAAAAAAAGAAAAAGAAAAATACCTTCACCTGATGCAATTAATAAGCTCTCTGAAGGGAGAAAAGAATCTTTATAATTGAGATTGTGAAGACTGGGAATTAGAATTGGTAAATTGGAAAAGAGGATGTAAAGTGCTAAGACAA